CTCATGTTTGAGCTCTCGTGTCAGAACTGCAGTAGCTTAGCCCTGCAACTGGCTGTCACATCAGCATCTTCACTGTAGGAGTGGCTCCGCTGACTCACACGGGTATCTCGCCCTGCTTTAGAGCTCCAATATTGCAGATTGAAAGAGGGAGGACAGGAGGCCTGCGGTAGACAGAGAACTCTCTTTAGGCTGAGACTATAAACTGGATAAAGCATGGAGATGACACAAATGATAGCCATCTGCTTACTGCACGGGGCTCTCGGAAACCGCGCTTACTGCAGGAAATAGAAGGACTCATAAAATAGAAAACCTTTTTCTCTTTTTTCCAAAGCAGAGGGAGGATAATGCCCACGAGACCTGTCACCTACCAGAGATCCACCATCGATTGCAGCTCAAGCCATCCTCTCCTTTCCCAACCCAGTCTTTATAACCCAGAAACTGCCTTTTGCTGTTGTTAATTGCACAGGGATTTTAAAACACGGTCTAGATTTCAAATACTGATGGTAGAAGGGTAGATTTATATATTTTGGCTTCCAATTCTGATTGCAGCTTATGATCTGGGGTAGTGTAATTCTAGCTACTGGCTAGACACATGGCAATTCGGGTGCAGGCTGCTATTAAAAAATCACTTAGGAATGACATACAGCTTCTGTTATACATACTGTAAATTCATGTTTCCCATTTAGGAGTTCCTCAGTACTTTAGTATCACCGTGATGAGTATCTGTCCTATTTACAGCTGAAAAACGTAGATTATTTTTAGGTCTGTTGTGAATCTGTTAATTTGGTAAGAGGTCAGTCTTGGAGGTAGGGAGAGATGATGGAGGAGAATGGGGTTAAATAATTATTTTTTTTTCCCTGAACGGGAAATAGTTTTGAGAAATTATATTATGTTTGACTAAGATATTTCAATCATTGCATAACTCAATATTTTCTGACATTTCAGGATTATTTAACTTTTGCTTAGCTGCCTTCTTTTGATTTATGTTACTTTTTAAACAAAGTGCTATTCTGAAATTCCCTCTAAAAATACCGGCACAAATATTTTTAAATTCAGTGTTCCCATCTTTTCAGTCAAAACAGTTAGGCAAAATTTGATCCAGATTTGTGAACAGTTTAGGATCAAGAAGCTCATTTTTTCACACCAAGTTTCCTATATACTTTTCCTATCCCCATGTCACGTGGCACATCAGTTGTTCTCTCTTTTTCTCATAGGACTAGAAGTAAGATATGAACACACTTCCCCTGACACCGTTCTGCACTCCCAGTGTTTGTTGCAAATACACAAAAAATCTACTTTCTCTGCTTTTTCCTATACCAAATAATCTAAGGATCTATTTTTAATAATCCAGGGTCTTCCTTTAAGTAGAAAGGCCTTTCACCATTTGCACAAGCTTTGAAATTGGCTATAAAACTATCACCAGGTTGGATAGCTCTAAGTATAGTTTAGCTGGAGAGCAAGGCTGCAGACGTATTAAGCAGCGCTCAGGCACAAACACTAAACATGTTTTTAACATGAGACTCAATAGAAGAACTTAGCAGACCTGTTTGGAAAGCGCATAAGACACTGGATTGAGTATAAATATTTCCTATTAGTTTTAGGGATTGGAACAAGCTACAAAGTTGTGGTTTGGAGATCAGGTTTCTCAGCTCAAGGCTTGACTGGGACCAGTGCCTGCCTAACCAGAAAGGTCAGATGTGTATCTGAGACTTCCTAAAGGCAGGGAGATTACAGGTCTAATTTTTTAAATTCTAATTAATGTCTCTTACATAACATTTCTTGCAATGCCCTTACCCCAAAGTACCTGTTTTTTTATAGACCAACCCAGTCAGAATAAATCAATGGCATGGAATAAAAGCTGACATGAAAAGACGTTACTAGAAATGATAGACATCAGCCAGATTTCTGGTCTTTATCTTCTGTTTTGCTGTCTTGTGTTCAGTGCTACTGATCAGCTCCTTGTCACAGCTCCCCACATTAATCACACATCTCTTGTACTTGTGCAGTGACCCAAGTGCCGAATGTAAAACATCATCATAACTCGCGTGACCCTTCTGATACGCACAAGGAGCTCCAACCAACATTTGCTCTCATTGTGATGAAGCACGCGGTACATTTTGGCCGCTAAGAAACCTATTTCCAGTTTGCAGAGCTAAAATTAAGCCGTCAGAAATACAAAAGGCAACGGTCCCACGCTCCTGTCTCAGTCCCTGCCTTTCACCCTTCCTATTTTTGTGAGTGAAACTGTTTTGAGTTGTGAAGCGAAGGAACTCCGGCTCTGCACGGAGCTCATTCTTTGAAGATTAATTCCAAGTGACAGCATTTATATATTTCCATGACATTCCTTAAGCAAAGACTGTTGTCATTAGCCAGGAAATGAACATTGATAGCCCCAAATGAATGACCTGTTCCCAGATGAGTTACCAGTCGTGGGGAAATAAAGCGAGTGAGATAAACCAACTCTGTTTCCCTTTGTCAGTGGAGCTGTGGAAGAGCAAATCCAAATCTCACACTCCACATTCAAACTGTTCTGCAGGTCACCAATAAGCATTGCTTACATATAGAACACTTGTTACCCAGGAAAAATACAACATATATAAGCACTTCACCTACTGTTTCATTACAGATCCTCCAGCACGGAATACGCAGCTCCCTGCCAGGGTCCAAAGGGTGAAGATTTGTTTTAAATTGAAAAATGGGTCCTCACTGATTCAAAGCAAAAGGCTGTTTGCCAGGGATGGAGTACTGGGAAAGGAGAAATTCTGGAGGGTTTCACAATTTTAGTCTCCATTGAGAGTAGCCAAAATGCCCAACACCCAGAAAGGGATACTTGGAATTTTGAAAACTCCATGTACAGGCTTTTTTCCCTCCCTAGCTGAAAATGTTAGAGAAATATTTTGCCAGCTTTTCATGCGGATTTTAGAACATTCCCAGTTTTTCCAGCAGATGAAGGAGGGAGAGCGGCCTGATGCAGTAATGCACGATTAATGGGATGAATAGATAGTGTTACTCCAACACACTTCAACTGGGGCTTTCTTCAATCACAGAACAGCTGCCACAACAGCATGAGATGTAAAACGAGAGCATGCATTTAGGTGAAAGCATCGGGGCCAGCTGGCCTGACACACTGGTGTTAACCCAAGACTATCACAGGCTCTTAAAGGCAGCCCGTGGCTTTGATTTTTGTGTTTGAGAGGCATCTGATCACCAAGGAGGGTACACGCAGCCTTTACTGGAGATGCTCTCACGCCATGCTGCAGAGTCAGACCAATGCGTGCTGAACAGAGGGGCCATGAGACTGGAAAGGCACTGGTACTGTCGCGACTGGGTTTCACCCCGGCAGCCGTCAGGACACGGGCCTGGGCACAGTGTGGCCCACGGGGGAACTGATGAGCACAACCCGCCAGACGCAGGGAGCGGGAGCGGGAGGGCTCTCCAAAATCTAGAAGTAGCGTTCTCATCTTAATTTGGTACTGCGTGGACTTAACCATGCATTTGCACAGAGATGTGCCCTTCTGGGCAATTTGTGGATGAACAGTGGGGCTAGATCCACCAAGCAATAAGTAACTGATTTTTTTTCTCTATTAAAAATCCCTTGATATTACATCAGGAATTAGAGAGGAAACACGGCATGAGGAGACAAGGGTAGTTCAGGAAGCACATTAATGATCTTCATCAAGAAGAACACTTTTCCTCATTATACAACATCGGAGAACAGGTCACCTACACTCTAGGTGTTTCCCAACGCCATAAAGCGTTTGGCCACTGTTGGAGTCCTCCTCCTGATCCACAGCGACGAACACGTCAGCCCCAGCCGACTGCACTCATTACCAACGTAGCCCATCCGGGAGCAGTTAAGCATTCTTTTGAAAACTGATTTTAATTTCCTCATAGCACATCCTTTTTTAAAAGTACTGTCAGAATACTAGAGCACGTTTGCAACCTAGATTGTCCACAAACCTTTCACGCCAGCTATTTCCCATGCTTCAGGTGAAGCCATTTCCAAAATATAATTAAGCGCGTGGAGGCAGGTCCCAAGGCAAGGATTGAGGTTGAGGTTATTGTCCAGGGGGCACATCCTTTCCTGTCAACAGTATAATCCAAACCAGGAGTGGCTCATTGCCTACACTGGGTGGTGTAGTTGGCGTTGCATTAGCTGAACGGCATTTGGAACTTTATACCATAAGAATATCAGGTGGAAGAATGCTTTTTAGAAAAATCTTGAAGCTTTCAGGGTTTCACAAACATTATTTTAATTTTCTGATGACCACCACTGCATTCATACAATGAAAAATCAGTGAATGAGATTCAGAAGCTTTATTAACTTATACTACCTCAGATTTTTATTTATTTCTATTGTATATGTATGTCCAGTCTGATTTATTGTGACAGATCTGTAGAAAATCCCACTGTTCCACAAGAGTGTGACCAAGTTACTCCACTGTTAGGTTAAACAGACTATTCTTCCCTGGCTTTGAAAATCGTGGGTCTACGTTCCCCTTTCGAATGCTGCCTGCAGTGTTGTAGAGATTCTCATTAACAGAGGGAAGCTTTGTTCTTTCGGTAGATTTACCTTAACCACTGTAAACCTATTGTAACACTTAACTGCTGTGGAATTCAGGAGTGCTGTGGTACAACATCACCTACGAAAGAAATTCAGAGCATTGGGGAAAGAACTAACTCCAGTGCCACGTAGATCTGCGGAGCTGCTTTATTAACTTCATTTTTGCAGATGGGGAATGTATAAGAAAAGGAGTTTTAACAAGATTGCACTGCAAACTGGTAAAATAGGGTTAGAAATGGGGTATTCCGACTCCTGGTCGTTGGCAGTAATCCCTAGATGACACCGGCATTTGCGAACAAGCAAGATGAGACCGTCTGTCTTGTCACATAGGACAGTGAGCGCGCCACGGGCAGCTGGCCGCTCAGATTACAGTGCCCGTCTGGGCATAGATCAGTAAAGGAGTGGGTTTTTTAAATCAATGTTTTTTTCCCTGCAGACTACAGAAATCCATTTGTGGAGATTCACCCGGAACATCCTGAAATAATCTACATTTTAGATGCTAAGAAAACGGTTGTTGTCCCTTGCCGAGTTACCTCACCAGACATCAAACCTAAGCTCACCCAGGTAAGTGACTGCTTCAGAGAAACAATCAATTCAGAGGTCTGGGCTAAAATGGCTAAAAATACAAAATAAAATGTATGAAGCTAGGTAAGTTTCTGAAAAAAAATAGCAAAGACACTGAAAAACCAGAAGCACAGTCCCCCTCTTGCAGTGTATCACTATTGAACTGTGTACAAGGGTGTTTTGGGGATTAGGCTGAGTTTATCACATATTTTTCTCATCTTGTGGCTTGATGTTCCTCCATAAATTGGCAAAAATAGATCACAGGACACTATTTTTCTTCAGAATTCTTTGTGTAACACCTGGCTATTAGCTATCCTCATGAAAGCTTCTCTCTTTTATACCTTGAACCTCCTCAGAACAGTTGCCCATTTTTGCTTAATTTCATAAATTTAAACCAAGTTTCAGCCTCGGGAATAAATGGCTACAGCATCCTTTCCTTTGGATGCTGTTACATCTGAATGTCAAGGTTACAGAATGGTCTATGGAGGCCAAGGCCATTTAGTATAATAAAAATGGAAATTTAAGGTCTGGGGCTTCCTCAGTCGATGGAGATCTACTCACTCATTTAAAGGGCTTTAGAATTGCTCTACAGAGAAGCCTATCACAGAGTGAGGAACAGAACATCGGTCTCCTGGCTCCAACCCTGCCTTTTACCTAATAGGTTATGTGCCGTTCCATTCCCTGGCCAGGCTGACTGCTTGAGCTGTCCTACTGGGAACAAGAGCTCATCCTCTGCCCCTTTCCCACAGCCTGTTCTGGAGGGGCTGTGAGAGATGAGGTTGTTCTGCTGGATGCGGTGTGATAGCGGAGCACACGCAGATAGGCTGATGTTGCGCTGGTAGAGGGGTCTGTGGACCTCTGCTCCTCTTAGCAGTGAGATGTCTTAGTTGTTAGATGTTTCCTCCTCCTGGGAGAGAGCACATGAAATCACGGAGGCAGTGTTTGGGCTCCTGCTGAGACCAATGGCAAATTTCCAGTAGACGTGCGGAAGGACAGCACTGGCCTTAATGCTTTAGCAGATCTCTATTTTTTAAATTTTGTCAGTAGGGATTCAAGCGGGTGGAATAAGGCTCCTCTCCAGTTACAGCTTATCACTTTAGCCCAGATAAGTGTTATCACCTTCTCCTCCTTGGCTATAAAAATGAAACATCCCCATCTTATTTTAGCCAGCTTCAACCAAATTCATTGCTGGAGTACTGCTGCTGACTTCGGCACAGTCACATGAGCCTAAATGTGGCCTCGGAACCTTGACCAAGCTGACCTCCAAATTCACCCCCTTATTTATAAGCAGCCCTGCACGCCCTGCCTGCCACCTAAATTCTCTCCCAGTAATCTCTTCAAACACAAACCGACATCCTTTACCTTGCTGCAAACTGCTGCTGGAACAAAACCTCCACTGAGATCTCCCTTTTGAATTGCAAAGAAAATAATCCCCCAGAAGATTTTTCCCCTTCAAGCTGGACTGCAGGGCAGGGATGGAGATGTTGACTGCCGGTCCCCAAAGGAACCCTCCTGAGGCTGTGAGCTGCTCAAGGGGATGTGCTTTGGGAGGCGTGTGCTGGATTCGGGAGCCGCCAGCCCCGGGTTCCATCTATGAACGTCACCGCTTGTTTTGCCCGGTGTGGGAATTTCATAGCGCCGTGCGGAGCCGAGGTGGCGGCTTCCCGTGCGAAGAGGAAGCGGGGCGGGAGAGGGGCGGAGGTAAGGATGGAGGAGGAGAGGTGAATAAGGCGATCAGACAAATTTAGAACATCCTCTTCTTCCAAATTTAATCTCCAATAGACAACGAACTTCAAAGGGAGGAAAGCCGCTGTGATTTCCTTCGAGCAGCATTGACGCTTTTTGTTTGATTGTTTAAATATATATTTTTGAATATTTTATGAAGACGTTTAATATGTGTGTAGTGTTGAAACGGGCCTCCTGAGTAGGGTTACTTTTTCTTTCCCCTTCCCCTACCCATCAGGGAGCAGAGCTGCCAAACCTTGAAGTTCAGCTTTATCACATTTTATTATTCTTGTAGAAAATGTACTTTTTGCCACCATAAATTAAGTTCCTTATGTTACCATTATACTTTAAAATTGTCGCACTCTCTGGCCTTTAAATATGTATGGGGAAAGGTGCCTTTTGCTAATACTAAACAGATCCCCTCTAACTCTAACTCTACATCATCTATGTTGTTAATAAACCCATGCTAAGATACACAATTCAAACTTTTAATTTTGCTTAACATGATTTTAATTCTGAGCAAAAAAAAAGCATTTTCAGTCTTGTCAGATCTGTTTCGTCACTGATCTGGCTGAGTGTGCATTTGCCCCTTACAGCTTTGACCTTCATGGGTGTTAAAGCATGGTTAAGCCTCAGGTTTTACATCTCCTCCTGTAATTTTCCTGGATTTTCCTAATGGTTCTGAGCAGAGATGCCGCAGCCCGATTACTTTGGAAGTATTTACATGAAATCCACGTTTCCTACTACTGTTCCACAAGAAAGCAGCTGTCTCGCCGTGCCCGTTTCCCCACAGCAACATCACCAGTCACCGCCCCACCGCCGCAATTCCTTTGCCCTTGATCTGTGCTGCATATGGAACAACCAGAGACCCAAACCAATGCCAACCAGAGCCATCGTATATTCACGAGAGGCACGAGCATCAGCTCTCAAAGCCCGAAGCTGAAATTTCTTCGGAGCAGGAGTATTATTTAAACTGAATCCTATTTAAACCACACTGCCATACGTGACTACTGTTTGTTTGGAGACAGAAAAATAAATCGCATGCCGCGTAACAACAAGAATAAAAGCAAAACTACTATATCACTGAGGAAATTCCCACTTGCGGTCCGGAGTGCAGCTCTTCCCTTGGTTAGCTTCACAAGCTAAACCAAGGTAGCTCTGGAAAGGAAAACATTAACTTGCTTATCTTAGCTGGTATATGATAAGAAGGAAGGAGAAGCACTGTGCAAATTCCAAGTTAGTTATCACGTGGCAACTGTAGGCACACTGAGGTTTCCCCAAACCCTTCATTTTTCAACGAAAAGTGATCTCAACGCTCCTGCAGCACACCCTCAGTCCTAGAAAGCCTCCCTGTGTCCTGCTGGGAAAGTCAGACCTCAGCCTGGGCTTCCATCCACCTGCCTGCAAATAGGCAGAAATGGGTGAATTTCAATGATCTGCTCTTTGACAGACTCCCAAGTTATTTGTCTGCATTTAATTTCATGTATTTCTTTTCTACATTGCAATCCAGGACTTTCAAAATGATTGGAAAGCAAATTGCATTTTTCTTTGGCACATAGAGGATTTCCCCATGTGTCAATAATAATAATAATAAACTAATTATTCCCACCAACAAAAGCTAACCCGCTTGACACTGGTGCTGTGTGAGGGTATACGGAGGGTTCATTCTTATTAAATGAACTTTTGCTCTAGTTTTATTTTCCCCATTTGCCTTTTGTATCTTCACATCCTCACAAGCAGAATTTACAGACACTGTTTTATCGAGAATCTCAGAACATTACAAGTAGTTATGAATTTAGGACAAAAGATTTCTTTGTTAGTAAGTCCCCTTATTTCTGCCATCCAATGATTTACCATCGTAAGTCACCCACGCTGCTTCAGTGCCTACTGGAAATCAATAGGCTGCTCGGAAAGCATCTCATCCCTTCCTGTGATATAGAGAGAATCCGATGACTTGCCACAGACCACAGCTTATAGATGACTGCCAGCTGCTGAGTTAGTGACATGAATAATCCCGATTTTTTGGGGTCTAACTTCACACGTATTTTTAAAGTATTGAGATGCCAGGAAAACATGCGGTAGCTACATGTAGCCTTAGGAGAAGCAGACTTTGTTCTTCAACACTTCCAAAAAGATTACCCTACAAAATTCGTATAAGATAGGCATAATTATTTCCAGTAAAGAGATGAGGGAAATGGGACCTACAATGGGTAGCATGATATCTTGCCTAAGATCTGAGAGGACTGAATCAAAAGCCCCAGTTATGATGTCCAAGTTTTGGATTTCAGAGACAGTCATACCTTAGGGAGGGCGTTTCTATTTGCTTATGTTGATGTTGCTTAAGATATGTGTGGAATGAGACCACCAAACCACTCTGAAAGGTCAAATATCTACCCTGCCTCCACCGCAGAACAGCCTTGGTCGGTCGCCTCTGGTCTGGCGGGGAAGGGAATGTCTCACTCACCTCCTGTCTGTCTGTTCTCTTTCAGTATCCTTCTTCTGTAGAGATGAACATCAAGAGGATGGTGTGGGACCCAAGAAGAGGATTTGTCATCCCCTCTCATTCTTTCGTTTACTCTGGAGTACTCACCTGCACTGCAAATGTCAATGGAAGTGTGTTCACCTCCTACTACCTAGCGCAGAGGTTGGGTGAGTGACCGCTGCGCGCCAAGGAATGAGCACAATGTTTTGATTTCATAGCTAAGCCCCCAGGTATTATTTCTTGGAAAGCCTCAATTATATTTGATATATCTAATTGGTATGTATCTGTAGCAAGTCCGAGCTGGAACGCTAAAAGCAAACTCATTCTTCTCCTTTTTTTCCTGTTCAATAGAACTTGGATTTGATCCACTCCTGGTTTTGAAAAACTACCAAGTGTTGAGGTGGTACAGAACAGGAGTATTTTATTCAAACCCCACCAAGGCTTTGTTTGCTTGGATTGAGCTATGTTTACACGAAAACAACTGCTGGTTTGGGATAAAAACAGTAGCTTTCTTTTTGCTTCTGGTCATTAAACAAACAAGATCATGGTGTAAAAATCTCATTAAACTGCTAATTCAAATTTTTGCATTTTTATACAGTTTCTCCTGGTGATTTACTATACCTTTTCCCTTGTATTTACAGTTGAGCTTCAACTCAGAATTAAAATCTGAATTTGAAGCAACTAAACATTACATTTTTGAGTGCTGGGGATTTTTATGACACCAATTAGAGTTGATTTTTCCTTTGTATTCAATGTATGTTTTTTCTTTCCTCATATATTATATTTTTGACAGAGGAGAGTTTATTGTGACTTCATTCCCATTAGCTCATGGCATCCTTCTATACAATTAGCACTCAGCTTCAAACAACAGGCTTGTAAATTTGTATGGCAGCCAAATAACAGTCCTGTAAATCTCTCTCTCTCTCTCTCTTTTTTTTTCATTGTTGGAGTAATTATTTTTTACCAGAATCATAAATGCAAAGCTAAAAACCCCACTAGGTCATCCCTCGCTAGCCCAAAAGGACAGAGGCAATACCTTACTCTATAACGCGTGGCGGTACAGCGGTCAGACGTGTGTTTGGCATGGGGCACCATAAACATGAGGCAGGCTTATTTCTGAGTTGATGTGTTTAAGGCATCAGTAAATATATAAGACCAAGATGTGGGGCTCCCCATCAGAAAGGAAAGGAAGGGAAGCTGGTCACCAGAGGGAAAGGCAGCTGGTCATCAGAGGGAAGGAGAAACTTGTTTCACATTTTACAGCAATTAATCCTGTCACAGATACGTGGATGCTGAGGAACTCAAAGGATGAGTCCCTTTTGAAAACTTTTTCTGAGAATGGCTGTGGAGCTCTCGAGTAAGGGCTGGAGCCAAACGTGGCAAATGCAAGAAAAATAATTCATAAATTACCGTCTCCACGTGTGATCAATTACTTTGATCAGCTGATGTTCAGGCCTTTATATAACTGACCTAATGTTTCCATTGCGGGGCACTTCCAACAATTGCCCCAGAAACGACAGAAGAAGGTGAGGTGTTTGGGAACTGTGGATGTTGGAGAGGCGATCAGAGTGCGGATTCTTAAATGTCATTGATGCAGAGAGTGCTGCATGGTTATACCTTTGCTTTTTTCATTTCAGAGGGCAGAGTACAGAACCTGGCTCTAAAAGCAACTCCCAAAAAACTGCTGGTCGGAGAAACTCTCTACTTGGAATGCAGAGCAGAAACCTTCATCAACGGGCGCATTGAGCTCATATGGACATGTCCTAATGGGAGAGTGAGTTGAAGAAAATTCAGTATTCTGCTTTCACACAGTCTCCCCCTATCCAAACGAAAGAGCCGTTCGCAGGGCCGAGCAAACCCTCACTACTACTTAATCTGAAATATAGCCAACCTTCTGTAAGCCTACAATTGACTGTATTTTTAGTTTGGATGAATCTAAAACTTATCTGACCATCTTGAACCTGCAAATTAAACAGCAAATCTCAGGCTACATATGCTTGCTTTTAGCTTTTCTTAGCCAGGAGTGTACGGTTCTTGTTGGAAGAAAAACTCTCGTTTCGTCTGGCCCGTTTGTTGATCCCAGCTCGCAGTGGCAAGTCTCGAAGGCAGCCACGCAGGTTGCAAGTTGTCAGTCTGCTCATCCATCTTGGCATTTCTTACGTAGGAAAAAGTGAACCAAAAGCCAACTGCATCTGCTGAAATCTCCACCAAAGAATGAAACATAAATTCTGAGTGTAGGTTCTCGGGCTTTCTGTGGAATGCAATACAAAAATGCCAAATTTGACGTAGAAACATGTAAGAGACTGAGCATTTGCTCTGAGGTACTAAAACCTTTCAGTTCTCCCAAGGAAAATCAGAGGGAAGAAGGGGTATTTTCCAAATCAGTTAATTTATCTATCTGAGATAGTACTCATGGTTCTATTTGATGCTCAGAATTAAAATGATTGCTTTTTTTTCTTTTTAGTTCAGCGAAATATACATTTCAAAGCAGAATCTAAGCCTATTGGAAAAGTGTAAAATGTGATTCTGAAAACTTGATTATTTTTTACTTAATTTGTTTACTTAAAGCAAGAATGTCTGATTTTGCTTTGGTGAAGAAACCACAGAAAATAGAACCTAGAATTTATAGAAGTGCAAGTAACATGGTGTTACTGAATTTTGTTTCTTGAACCCCATATGATGGAAGAGAGCTGTTTTTCTGTGAACCCTCCTTAGATTTCTAACATTATAAATGTAAAACTTCTTGGCCAAATCTCTGGGACCAAAAATCCTACCAGAAGCAATAACGCTCTCTAAAATTCTACAGGAATTTGCATTGGCACTTGGCTGTCATAATATATTATATTTCTGTCATAATATGTTTCTTGTAGAAAGTAGGAGGTTTTTAAGACCAAAAGATTCTGACTGTGACCAAAAAAAAACAACCCCAAACCCCACACAACAAAAACCCAAAGCACAACTCTGACCCTACAGATGCCAACAGCAGTTTTGCACGGAGATCTCCAGGATTTGGTCCCCGTGTGGGGCTGATCTGCGATGCACCCCCTTATTTACCTGCCTGCCCAGACTTCAGCAGAGAAGTGCCACAGTTCCACTCTGTTTCTCTGTCTTATTAGACTTGATAATGAAACCTCACACAAGAGCTCTTCCACCTGATTTGTCTTTTATATTATTTATTTCAGTGATGGGGAGATACGATAATTTAAATATGAATCACTGCTTTTCTTTACTGGCAGACTTTGAAAGGATGAACAAAATAATCTGGTTTATGCTGCTTTTTGACCCCCTTTTTTCTGACTTCCAGCACCCTTATCCTAGAAGAACAATAGACCAGAGTGGCATGGTATATAAAGTTGGCAGTAGCCTGACAATTGAAAATGTCACCATGCAAGACGGAGGCCTGTATGTATGCAAAACATTCAACGTAACAAGGCTGGAGGCCAATGTCACAGTTACTGTGTATGGTAAGTTCTGCAGCTAAACCCGAATACCCAAACCCCAAGATTGTTAAGGATAATGCCACATTTTTAAACCTGTTGATATACAGATGGCATTAGGAAGAATACCAACTAGTCGAAACAACCATTAATCATCTATAATCTCTAATCAATCTATGGGAGAGTCAGCAGCCAGCACTATGTTTTCAAAGAAACTTTCGAGAGCTGAAGACTGAGACGTGTCTGAGGACACGGATTAACTGGGAGCCGAACTGTTCTGAAAAAGCTGGCACCAAGTGTGGATGCGGATGCCCTGGAAAATCTGGCCTGCTGGCATCCACGCGGACAAGAGATACCCCAGGTGTTTTTACACACTGCTCCAGGGGCAACGCAGATGGATATTCTCTGCTTTAAATATAAAGTCCTTCATTTGGAGATAGACTTTCCTGGCTGTGGCGGAGCTCTGCAGGGGAACCGCGGTAACAGCGCGTCGTTCCATTTGGTCGTCTGCGGCTTCTGCAGATCTGCATTGTAAAAAAATCCGGGGTAGACACAACGCGATTCAAAGACGCGAGCGCTGTACTGTGGCAGATCTGCCATCACTTGTCCTCCTGTTTGTTTCTCTTTCCAGACAAACCTTTCATTACAGTTTCACATAAGAAAGGGCCTTACTACGAGATCACGTCAGGACACAAGTCACTGAAACTAGGTGCAAAGGTGGACGCCTTCCCTCGCCCAAGCGTCACCTGGTGAGTACCAGCACCTTGAGCAAAATCAAGAATAGGTGACCTTCTTTTGGGCTCCTGTCTAGAACAGGTTTTCACTGTTCCTTACCACACCGACCAAAGATGAGAGCTGGGAACGCTCATAGCTGTGGTCTCAGTCCAGCTAGGGAGATGTGACTTCTTTCTGTGCTGACATATGCTCTGGGAAGCTGGGCAAGCCATACCTCTTTCCCATGCTATTTTTCTCTCCCAGTCATGCAGAAAAGGTCCCTATAGAAAAATTGGGGATTTCATTTACCCTGGACACAGAACTGTTTGGAAGATTGATGCAGAAAGCTATTGGGGAAGGGTTTACCACCGCTAGTGGTGGTCAGTCTGGAAGGAGGCAGCGCACAACAGAAAGCTGCAGGACACATTCTCAACAAGAGAAATTGTTTCTCTTTATAACTTTTAAGTAATTTTCTCCAATCCTGTACCACCAGCAATGGCAGATCCTTGCAGACAATGCAGTGAATCCTCCCGAGCAAACTAAAGGCTCCACCAGGACTGTAATGGATCAGCTTAATAGGAGGGGCAACATGTCAGCAACTCCAGAAGACATTAATTTCTCTCTTTACCCTTTCATCGCTTGTTCTCTCTCTTCCTACATTTTCTATGCTTCATTCCGTAGGGCGTCTGTAACAACCCCTTCCAAAACCTTATACATCTTTAACTGTATGAAACCCCCTACAACAGCTAGGATGGGTTTGCCTGTGGTGGCAGAGGAGGTGGTATGGGTGACCCCGCACCTGCACAGTGCGCTCTCCCTTGGCCAGCTGTGTGCCGCTCCGGGGGTGCTGGCAGGCAGCAAAAGGGACTGGTCAGGGATGGGTTTGCTGCATTTTCTTTAGCAGTCAAATAACATGAAAATCCCCAATATTCAGTGCGATCAGTGTAATCAGTGCTGCCAAAAGATATTTTCAATTGCTGCTGTTATTTAGGAGATGGAAATGTTTTTGTGAGTTGAAGTGGGGACTGTCCCCCTTTTCCCTGCCAAGGCTTTGTTCTCGGGGCTCAGCGTGGAGCTGCTTGGTCTGCCTGGGACCACCAGAGCTGCCTTCCCTGCATGTTCGAACCTACAGCTGTTGATGTTGGAGGTCTCTCAGGACAGTTGTTTAAACGACTGCAAAGGAGGTTTCCAGCATTCTCAAGCAGTAGGACACATGCCCCAGCTTCTCCTTCCACCAAGCCTAAAGCTCTGTGTGTGGCAAAGTCTGGCTGATTTCATATTCATAACCCAAATCTGCATGTTGGATTAGCAGTAAAGAGAGAAGTCTGCTCATGCAGACTCTGCTGTCCTTCTCTTAGCGAGTGAAGACTCAAGATTGTGGATTCCTAACTGACCTTCCTATTGACTGTAAATTCTGCAGGTCACAGACTTGAGCTTTTTCAGAAACAGTAAAGGGTCACATATACATATTGAAAGATAATTCTGTGCAATTGGTATCTCGGTTTAAAACTGATAACATAAATTTTGGCTAATCTGCACTTAGTATTGCACATCCAGCATAATTTGGGGGCATCTAGAGGTACATTTCTGATCATAGTTAAGCATGCGAGCGGCACTGTTCATTCAGATCCATTAACATGTCTTTTTCCTGCTTGTTGGGTGAAACCATCCCATAGCACAGAAGGTGCTACTCTGTTTTAGTGTGGAAGGATAAGGCCAGGTTGGACGGGGCTTGGAGCAACCTGGGCTGGTGGGAGGTGTCCCTGCCCAGGGCAGGGGGTGGCACTGGATGATCTTTAAGGTCCCTTCCAACCTAAATCATTCTATGATTCTATGATAAAAGGAGTAGATGTCCAATTCGAGCAGTGATTACAGATCTGTTTCCCTTGCTGCTTCTGAAGGATGACTCTTTACCAACCCCGATTAGGGGGAACAGGTTTTCTGAGGGCTAACACGCATGCATGCACATGATGAGCCTTGTTGGGACTTTCAAAACAGGTACAAAGACGGCAAACTGATCAAGGATAACCATACTTGCTATGAGCCGGATCCAATGAAGTACAGACTGGGCATAAGAGATGTGAGACCAAAGCACGCTGGAAACTACACCATCGTCTTGAGCAACGCCAAATATGGCCTGTATAAGAACCTCACCATGCAGCTGGTAGTGACGGGTAAGATCTGATGTTTAGAATGAATTCTACTGGGTTCTTTCTCATTTTTTTGTGTGATCCTACTTTACCAGTCAGCAGGTATGGGTGACATTTCCCCATGTTTAGCTGATATGAGCTGATACAGCACCGCATAGATCACCACCTTATTTAGGAACCACTGAAGATCCACTCATTTCACCACATGGTAAATAGAAGCAACAGAATGGAGAGCTAGTATGAAGAGTTAGTCTGAAACTACGTCATCTAACGTCCCTTTCCACTGAGATAATGCACCTCAGAAATAGCCTGAAGCACCTTTGTGTCGGGACAGTGTCTCCACAGAGGGAAGCAGAAATGGTTTGAAAGTGAACGAACTTAAATTTTAATAGGAGTTTGGGAGCGTATCTAGCAGTGAGGTCTTGGAGCTGGAGGCACAGTTTCCCAAGAGAAATGATGGAAGTTTTATCCCTTGAGATTAAAAACTAGCTTGGGCAAAGCACTGGAGAACATCCTGTTGGGACAGGAAAAGTCCCAGCAGGGCTGACGGAAGGAACTAGATAAAACACCCTGTCTTTTATGTCGCTCCATCATCCTGCTACAGAAATACTTTCTAAGTCTGTATTTTATGTATTGTCATTTATCTGTTGGGAGCACTTGAGAGACAGGTTCATTTTCAGGGGAATCTGGAGAAAACTGAAGTAAACTGTGGTGTGCGCTGAAGCCGGTTCACTTGGCACAGAATGAAAATAGATATTGGAATCACGTTTGTTAATCTCCCTTGCCGGGATAATGGAAGACAGAGCCACCACTGCCTCTTTTAAACCACTGAATTTGGCAACAGAGATTGAATCATGAGGCCAAGCAGGAGTTCAGCAAAAGTTAGCTCTGCTTCCCTTTGTATTTCCCGAGATTCACTCAGGCAGTGAGATAAAGTTATTGCGATAGGTTTGCTTTCTTTTCTGTGGTGGATTCTTTCCTCCTTATCCTCTTTACACCTAAAAATATTCTCAATTGTCCTGTTTTGTAGACTTATGCGCCGTTGCACCATGTAACTTCCAGCATTTGTGTTTTTCTCATTTCACCTTTCAGAAAGGATAATGCCTAACAAATGGAGAACTTGTCACTTAGGCACATTTGACCTATTAAAAATGATAAATAAGATATGGTAGCTTAAACCACCTTAAACATACATAAACTAATGTGCGATTTAGGAGTGGAGAGAGCCAAGAACATGCTTATGGTCAGGTACCGCAGCTCAGCTGATGAGGAGGAATGTGTTAAGCTGCGGTAATTTGCTCACTTGAGATTGTTTATCCATACAAAGGTTTTGCCGTCTTGTTAAGAGAACGGAAACGTTCAAAGGAAGAGAAAATTAAGAATGATAATAAACTATCTTGTCAAGGTAAATATTGGTGTTTGCATGCAAAAGAGAATGTTTACTTGAAGAGCAGCCATTCCCCAAATAGGCATATAAAAAACAAACAGACATTGTTTCTATCAGCAAGATGCTATTTCAGGATTAAACCATCCCATGCTCTTAACTGCAGCACGAGCCTTTCATCTTCATTGTATGTGCAAGTATGCGGTATCCCGCCTCTCTCGCACAGCGCATGCCTCGCACGGTGCTCATTGTTAGCCCTTCTGAGGGATCAGCCCAACAAAGACTTCAATCAGGAGTAATTATTTAATTGCAAACCCACCGTTTCTCAAGAGCCTGCGAAGCCCAGCAGCTGCAGGAACGTTACCCACTGGAGAAGGTGTTGCACGGTGAAGCACAGGAAAAATGAACAGCTTTTCTGGTAAAAGAATGTCATTCCAGAAATGAGAGCAAGCAAAGGGAAATATCTGCCAAAGACGGCGTTGGTTTGAAGCTAAAGGCTGCAAACAATGAGGATATTTGCTTTGATTGTAGACAGGACTGACACAAAACACCTAGGAAATATTGCCTTTGCCAGGCTCTTCTCTGCAGCACTAACGTGATATGCTGTATGTGAAGCACTCAGCCCAAGGAGAAGGTCACTTTGCTGAGATGCATGCAGGTAGAGACCAAAAAAGGCAAATTTT